TCTTTCAATTTAAAGTTATGTGCTTTGGAGTGACATCTGCGCCAGCTACTCAACAGAGATTGATGGATGTTCTGTTTGGTCCAGAGTATATTGGAAGAATATTTATTTACCTTGATGATATTATCTGTGTAACTTCTATATTTTTGGAGCATATTAAGCTCTTAAACGTTATTCATGACAAGCTAAAATTTGCAAACTTGTCAATAAATTTTTCTAAGTGTTGTTTCTTTCGAAAACAGTTAAAATATTTAGGGTTTGTAGTCGACGAACATGGTTTACGCACAGACCCCGATAAAGTTAAAGCTATTATGGACTTTGCTATACCCTCTAATCGTAAAGACGTAAAAAGATTTTTAGGCACCGCTTCATATTACAGACGGTTTATTAAAAATTTTAGTAACATTGCTGGTCCCTTGAACAAATTAACTTCTAATCGTAAAAATACTCCTTTTATCTGGTCTCCCGAAGCTGAGGAAGCATTTAATAAATTAAAAATTAGTCTTTCAACTGCTCCAGTTCTGGCTTGTCCTGATTTCTCGTTACCTTTCGCCGTGCATTGTGACGCTTCAGACTTTGGAATTGGCGGAACTCTCACGCAAATAATAAATGAAGAAGAACACCCAATTGCGTACTGTAGTAGATCCTTGACACCGCCGGAAAGAAATTATTCAGCTACTGAGAGGGAAGCATTGGCTGTAGTATACGTAGTGGAACATTTTAAACCTTACCTTGAAGGAAGCCAGCAGTTCAAAATTATTACGGACCATTCAAGCTTAAAATGGTTCCTAAATTTAAAAAATCCTACCGGTCGTCTTGAACGATGGGGTTGTAGACTTTCTCCTTTTAATTTTATTATCGAGCATCGTAAAGGCAAGGATAATATCGTACCGGACGCTTTATCGCGATCTGTTCCGATAGCTTGCATTAGTAAAAATACTACCGATCAATGGTTTCTAAATCTTTTAAAAAGATGTAAGGATAATCCTTCGTCTTGTACCAATTTTCAAGTTATAGATGGTATACTGTATCGTTATACCAAATCTAATAATCAACTATCTAAAGATTTTGAGTGGAAACAAGTTGTTCCCCTCGAGTATCGAAATGATATTCTTGTGGAAAATCATTGCGATCCTCTGGCTGCTCATTTGGGCATTGCTAAAACTTACAAAAGGTTACGTCTTAAATATTTCTGGCCGGATATGTTTAAGGACGTTGTCAAATTTATTATGCATTGTGATGTTTGTAAAGCCTACAAACATTCTAATCAAATAACACCCGGTTTAATGGGTAATCCTAAAGTGTGTGCTAGGCCATTCCAGTGCCTTAGTATTGATTTGGTTGGGCCCTTACCCCAATCAAGGTTGCAAAATACCTTTTTGTTAGTTGTGGTTTGCTGTTTCTCAAAATACACTTTCTTGTTTCCCTTAAGAAGAGCTACTGGAAAAGCTATTGTTCAGAGGTTGGAAGATCATGTATTCTTGGTACATGGGATTCCCCAAACTATCATCGCTGATAATGGTTCCCAGTTCACGGGCCATGAAGTTCAAGCGTTATTTTCTAAATATAAAATACCGCAAATTCATTTAGGTCCATTGTACTGTCCCCAATATAATACAGTGGAAAGAACCAATCGGACAGTTATAACGGCAGTTTCTTCTTTTGTTGGTAAAGATCATCGTACATGGGACGTAAACATCCATAAGATTCAATTTGCTTTGAACACTTCGGTAAACGAAACAACTTCATTTACTCCATACTTGTTAGTACACGGTCGAGAAGCAATTTCCGACGGAACAGTTTATGCCAATGCTCGAGATGTGGATGAAATAGTATTTGATTCCCGTCGCGACTATATTTCCAACCTAGGCACGTTACGAGGCATTTTCGATCAGGTGCAGGAGGAACTGAAAAAGGCTCATGCAAAAAATGCCAAGTACTACGATAAACGCCGTCGTGATGTCAGTTTCAAAGTCGGGGACTACGTTTGGAAACGGTCTTATAAACAAAGCGATGCAAAGAAATTCTTTTCGGTTAAACTCGCCCCTAAATACGAAAAATGTAAAATCATTCGTAAACTATCCTCATTAGTTTACGAACTTGAAGATGAGAACGGTAAATATCTTGGGAAATGGCATGTGAAGGATTTCAAATGAAATTGAAGTAGAGGTAGAGCATAGTGGTAATTTACCACTCGGATGTTGAGCGCTCAACTGGGGTAGGACCTCCACCTTACAGAAGTTCGCAGTTATTGCGTTGAGTAAGGTCACCAGAGCTCATTGAGGATTCGTTTTGTTGAGAACGGGAAATGCAATTCCTTTACCTTTCAACAGAGCGATTCCTTCTGATTTGTGTTTGTTGCATGTTTATGTTAATTAATACGTCTAACAAAGCGTCTTATCAATTAGTTACTTGCTGTAATGGTTAAGTCCCTATTACTAGTGATTATACTTTTAATTCCCCTACTAAATTGAAAATATAAATTTTCAATTGTTATTTTTCAACCTACCTATAGATCGTTACCAATATAATATATGTATACTGGTTTCGTTCATACCTTTTTTTTCTGTTTGATAAACAGTTTGTTATTTAATATACAAGTACCTTTCTGTAGTCTACAGATATCATTTATTTTGCTGTTTAGCAACCTTTACTACTTCATTCTATAATATAAGTTATTGTCTGTTGTTGAAAGGCAAGTACAGCCTCTTAGCAGTAGTGCATTGATTTGTTTTACCCCATTCGGATATAGGTCTGATGGTTAACCATAAAGAAGGACAAGGTTTCTTTATTGTTTTAATTTAGGTCGTTTGGTCGATAGTTGCAAATACCAGGTTTTATTTTACTTGTTTTAGTTTTGTTTTTAAACTTAACGTTTGATTTTGTTATGTTCTTTAGAAAGTTGGAATTTCTAAGTCGATTAGGAACGGATGAGGGCATCCGGCGAATTCCTTTACCGGAATTCTTTATGTGGTTATGGGGGTATTGTAGCCCTAAATTTTTGATCTAATGCATAAAATTTACTTTTTATAATTTATTAATTACACGGTTAGAAAAGGACAAAAAGCCTCCGTCCTATATCACTCACGGACACGTTGTGCTCCAGCGCATTGTTCATAGACTTCGCACACCGACTGTGTATAACGCCGCCCTTATTTATCAATATGCCAACGCTATAAAACTTTTAAGAAAAAAGTCATTTTTACATTTTTCTTCTCGAACACGTTCCACGATTCGCTTTTTTGGCGAAGCATAAGGAACCCCTATTTACACAGATTTATACAAAATCTAACATGGGCCGGCTCCACGTGAGAAATGGTCACACGTTTTCTTAATTGGTAAGCAATGACTATACTTTATTTTTAATGATCTTACCAGATCACAGTAAAATATGCATTCTTTTATAGTAATCACATGTGGAAATCATGTATTACTTCATAAGATAACCTCCTTGTCAAGATTTTTATAAATCCTTACAAATTATTAACTAGTTAATACTACATTCCTATGATGATTAGTCAAATATGCCTAAATATTCATTTATTCCCTTCAGGAATCAATATCCTGTAAAATAATTCATAAAGAGTAACTCCCATTATGAAATTTTCTTTGAAGACAGTGTTTGTTGAAAAGGATTACCTCCCTTAAATCCATTAGTTTTGTAGGAATGTGTTACTTACCACACTAATTAATTACAGATATGTAATAACATGGAAGAATAAACTATTAATATACTTGCTGTCTTCAACGCCTCCGACAGGTATTTATTTAACTCAATCATTATAATACAATGAAAGAATAATTTTAACTAAATAAATTCACACTTTCTAATCAATTACTGGGTATAAGTAATTGAAACAACAGTTTTTAAGATAAATAAAACTTGTAACGCAGTTTTTCCATAAAGAGGAATGTTCAATTTACTTTAAAATACTAACTTAAAAAAAGAATAACATACAAATGTTCTTAATATATTATGGATTTTATAATTTCTTAATATTCATTTAATATCTACATTTCATGTAGATTACCTACTTAATAAAATATCAACTTACAAAGGAATAACATACAAATATTTCTTAATATCTAGTAGAATTTATAATTTCTTAATATTAATTTAATATCTACCTTTCATGTAGATTACCTAATTACCTTTTATGTATTTTTTTTCTCCGGAAGGCTAATACTTACCGTCCCCTTCCAGGAGGTGCAATGTTATGATGCTATGTTACGGTGCTATGTTATACCATAGTATACCGCCATGTTACCCTGACGTCCTGCTACCCAGGCCACGTCACACATAACCAGTCCCTACCCCAGAAGGACTCTCCAGTCCTAAGCAGCTGACGAAGCCCCTGCTTACCCCAATTCATCTACTTAACCCGACGAGTTTGGACTGCACTCCGTGCGCAGACTACCCTTCGTGCTGTCTACTCTGGACCTAAAGCTAACCAATTCTTTTTATCTAAATTAACTTTACCTTTAACCATACCAAGCGTTATCGACCAAATGCGCCACGACCTGTTTTTTTTACCTACCTATTTTAATTGTAACGACCGTTTATATGCGTGACCGTGCGGCTCCAGCCAGCGGCTAAATTTCACTCCGTTTCTCAAATATTGTTTTAAACTTAACTTAGTTTCACTCCGTTTCACAAATATTGTTTTAAACTTAACTTAGTTTCACTCCGTTTCACAAATATTGTTTTAAATTTAAATTTCACTCCGTTTCACAAATATTGTTTTAAACTTAACTTAATTTCACTCCGTTTCACAAATATTGTTTTAAATTTAAATTTCACTCCGTTTCATAAATATTGTTTTAAACTTAAATATAACTAACCTTAAATTAAAGTCATTTACCTAAACCTATTTATGTAAAGTACGGAGGTTACCAATAAATGTAGTTATTATTGGAGCCTTATTTTTATTTACCCCACTTACCCGGTTTTTCACGTTACAATATTCACAAATATTTTTTTAAACATTTGTTCAATATTCCAGTGGGGCCAATACGCCCATCCCATCTTCAGCAATGCAGGCGATTTCCCAGCCGAAGTAAAACAGAACATTGCCCTAAAGAGTGCGGAGCAAAGTTTCCCTAAATCCCGTCTTCCTGAAATGTCGGCAGCAGAAGTAGCCCTTATCAGAGGATCCTCGGATTTCTTCGGTATCAACTCGTACACTACCAAATTGACGTATCGAGATGCATCTTTGGAAGGAATGTATCCTGTACCATCATATATGGACGATATGGGCGCTGTTATGATCAAAGACCCGTCGTGGACTCAGGCGCAGTCGACATGGTTACAGGTAATAATATTAATAGTAGGTATATGAAACTACCAATAATTCGATTGTTGGACGAGCGATAGGCTATTTTTAGGCTTTAGAACCCTTATAGGATCATTTTTTAGTCCTTCTGTCCGTCTGTCTTATACCCTTTATCTCGCGAACGCGTTGAGGTATCGCGTTAGTTTAAACCGTACCACTCAGTACTCAGGTGTACGGTCCCTTGAAGCTGTAAAAAATCCAATCATCTAAGTAAACGTAAAAAGAAGATAGGGCCGTTTATGTTGCGTGCGTACTTACAAAATTTGTACTGAACCCTCGGTGGGCGAGACTGACTCTCACTTACTCGGATTTCTTTTTTCATAATCGCTGCAAACCAGTACATTGTCTCTGAGTACCTAATCCCTATCCCCTTACAAGCTCTACTATACCTAGAACGCTTATTCAACCGAAGGAAGTGGTTCTATAAAGTAAGTTAAAAATCCTGCCCATTAATGACCTATTATACTATTTGGTTAGTTAGCACTTAATGCAGTTATAAAATAATTCCGACTGCAAAATTATTTTAATTCGCTTATTCTCACCTTTTAAATAGGAAGTACCTTGGGGCTTCTACAAATTACTAGTGGAAGTGAGGAACTTGTATGACAATCCACCCGTGTACATCACTGAGAACGGCTGGTCGACTGCCGGGGGCCTGTTAGACGAGGGCCGCATATCGTACTATAGGAGTTACCTGACCGCCCTACTGGATGCTTTGGATGAAGGATGCGACGTTAAGGCGTACACTGCTTGGTCGCTCATCGACAACTTTGAATGGAAGAACGGTTATACGTAAGTGTATTTTAATTAGAAAGTTGTATGGCAATCCAGTCGTGAAACACACTGAGAAAGGTTAGTTGACAGTCGGGGGCCTGTTAGACATGGGCCGCATATCGTACTACAGGAGCTACCTAACAGGGCTACTGGATGCTATGGATGAAGGATGCGACGTTAGGGCGTACACATGCTTGGTCGCTCATCGACAACTTTGAATGGAAGAACGGTTATACGTAAGTGTATTTTAATTAGGCAGTTGTATGGCAATCCACTCGTGAAACTCACTGAGAAAGGTTAGTTGACTGTTGGGGGAGGGGGCCTGTTAGACGTGGGCCGCATGTCGTACTACAGGAGCTACCTAACAGGGCTACTGGATGCTTTGGATGAAGAGTGCGACGTTAAGGCGTACACTGCTTGGTCGCTCATCGACAACTTTGAATGGAAGAACGGGTATAAGTAAGTATATTTTAATAAAGAAATAGGGAAGATGCATATATAATATTTATAAAAAATTTATGATTATAATGTTAAAAAAATATAAAAGAAATGCCACTGCAACGTTTTATTTTACATAATGTTGTTTTATTAACAATTATTACGAATTAAAAATACTTGAAACACAACGTATTTTAAAACACCAATCAGCGTTTAGTGACGTCACTCCTGTTATGACAACTTCTTTGAGGTTATGGTTGTTAAAGTAAATATTATTTTATGGGAATATTAATTGCGTTTTTTTTACATTTAATAAAAATGGAAGTTGCGTTCATCAAAGCAGACTCCAGGAATTTACCAAGAGTTAGTGTTGACATGGTTGTAACTTTTTTTTCCAAAGTGCAAAGTTTTCAAGTGTAGAAATGAAAGGGACTAAATTACTACGGTATGTAAAAATCGTAGTTGTTAAACTTTGTATTTTATTCAGCGGCTTCTACAAATCTTACGGCGATAATGCAATCGGCTATGTGAAGATTGTGCCACACATTTTAAAGTTTATCTAATTTTCGACGTCATTCTCCAACTGTAAAATTAAAAATATGTTATAGACAGGTTTTGTAAGTATTAGGTAGGTTACTAATGCGTTTTTACGTACAAGCAGATTAATTAAGCATATAACAAGTATATTCGCCGACTTACGTCAAAGTGATCTTCACAGCATCGAATAATGGTCTTTGGAGAATAATTGTCATTTCTCCTTGCAGCTTGAAACCACTTTTTTTTCAGTTTTGGGTCAGAAGTTTCAGTCAAAAACAATTTATTTGAAAACTTTGTTGAAGTAGATTGGCACAAAACATGAGTTAACACGGATTTTTTTCGGAATATTAGTGGTATTGTTATGATCACATGATGTTGATGGATAGTCCATTTTAAATTGTTCAAAAAAATATTTCGAAAGTCGAAAAACTATGCAAAAGTATGAAAATTTAAAGCCAGCGACGAACAAGTACGACCAGTGACAGACAGGAGTGACGTCATCGCAACCATAGGTTCCTTTTCGGTCGAAAATTTAAATTGTCAATTTAAAACCGCATTTTTTCCGATAAATCACAATGTTTTAATTTTTTAATATATCTGTGGTTTATTCTACATGGAATTCTTTAAAATGAAAACAAAAATAAAAATATTGCATCTTCCCTATTGTATGCCAATCCTCCTGTAAAACTTACTGAGAACGGTTGGTTGACTGTCTGGGGCCTCTTAGACGTGGACCGCATATCATACTGCAGGAGCTACCTGACCGCCCTACCGGAGGCTTTGGATGAAGGCTGCGATGTGAGGGCGTAGGTACAAGTTTGGTCGCTCATCGACATTTTTGAATGGAAGCGGTTTAACGTAAGTACAGTACTTATATACTCAGATATTTATATTATATGTATATATCTTATAGTAATATAGTGTGTATATAACATACCTTCTAATCCTCACCATCCAAAGGTTGTCTGGAAGAAATCGCTTTAAGCACGATGTTTACACATAATGTATTTACCCCATTTATGTACTATACTGTGGTGTTTTCAATAATTATGTATTGTATTTTTCCTTTTATTGTTAACGCACTTAAAACTGCAAGTTTATAAAAAAATGTTCTGATGAGTCTAAAGTTGTTACTTGATGTAAAGGCAGTAATTTTTTATTTAATTATACTTGCGATTGCAATAAAATTACAAAAAATCAACAGAAACATTAATTTTAAATGACGCCGCTCAGTGAGTCTGTTAGAGGCTATTTCTTGGGCTATCTACCAACAAATTTAGGTCAATGAAGAACAACCTGCTTAACGAATTTGGTGATTTGGCATATTTCGGATAATGGTATGGTCTCTCTCCTCTTATTCTTTCGCAGTCGCATAAAAATCGAAGTAGACACCACGTCTGTGCGGTACTGTAATAATCTCATAGAGCAACGCAGCCGACGCGACCAGAAGGGTAGCCATAATGACATAATACTACTGAAATAATTCTACCGCTTTTTGCGTGGGTAGGAATATGCAGTCAAACATGCTTTCGCAAAAACGAAATGGTAATTACGACACAGACACATAAAAAATTACAGCGCTTAATCGGGCAAAGATGAAATTTTAGATTTACAGATATTGACAGATCTGAAATTTGTACTGGCTAGACGATTGTTTTGTCAAACAAGTCCGACGATTAAATTTTAACAAAATAATATGAATTTTGTGTTTAAAAGTGGTTAAATAGACATAATATGTTAATAATTCTACTTATACATTAAATTAAACACCATCCTTTTGTAATTAGTTTAATATTCCAGATATGTTTTACAGAAAATTACATAACATTTCGGCATTTTTGATCTCTAACATACACTCGCGCGACTGACACAGTCTAATGAAATATCCGACGCATTTTTGATTTTTTTTTTGTTTCCTCCCAGACGGGGGAGCGGGTGAGAAATCCTCGTGGATACCCTACAGCCAGCTGCAAGGTTATGTCAGACTCGTACTGACTAAAAAACACCCGTAGGGGCTGCCTCTGGCCGGGAAGGCCTCTAAAGCTTCATCGGAAGCGATCGTCCCCCAGGAGGGGGAGCGACGCAGAAATCCGACGCACAACTAGTTTTGTTTTTGAGCTGACACAACAGCGGGGGAAAATCGACAGAGGGGAACGCTTTGAATGCCTACTCCCCTACTAGCCGCGTCGGCTGTGTTGCTCTATGACTGATCTTCAGTGCTTTGAAACTATACTTCACAATTTTATAGTAATAAATATAAACTTATCTGAGTTTGCATGCTATTGTCTATAGCTGAATTGGTGAAACTTATGGTTAAGTAACTATTTGTGATCTGATTTATCCCTACCCAGTTCAAACGCAAATAAATATTCTATTCTAGAATAGGTTCGGAAACTGAATTGTGTATTGACATGGTCTCTAGGGAAAAGTTTGGGCTGTATGAAGTGGACTTCTCCAGCCCAGAGCTCACCAGGAGGCCAAGGAAGTCCGCGCATATCTACAAGGAGATCATCAGGTCAAGACAACTCAACCTTAATTATGAACCAGAAGACTTTATCCACGAACACGATGTTAAAGAAAAAGGGGCATAACATTAAAATATGTTGGGAAGATTTGAATATAAACTAAATAAAAGATGTTTTGATATTAGTGATAAGTTATTTATTTGAAATAACACTGAGTGTAGACATAATACAATGAATATTGTACAATACAATTATCCGAAATCAATCAGATCGTGACAATAATCTGTAATAATAATTATAATTATTTATTACTTATTAAACATCTAGAATCTAGAGTAACAATTTCACAATTCACCGTTCTATACAAAATGGAAGAAAGTAATTTAATATTTATATTAAAAATAAATGCTGCAAAATAATGAGATTTGTCGCTTTTTTTTGCGACAACTCTTAAGCTGTACTAAAGTTACACAAACACATACAAATACTCTTATTTTAAAGGCGACATTCGCCCTTCCACCTGAAATGTGTCATAAAGCCTTTTCAAGTCTTCTTATAATTGCAGTCTTTCATAAGGCATTTCTATTCGGACTGACATTTTCTATACATACTGTAGTAACTGGAGTCGTTAAAATGTACCAAGAAAGTAGTACCAAGCCAACTGGGCCATTTTCACTTACAAGTAGTAATTCTATATTGTTTTAAACTATCATGGTCACTAACAGTATAGTAATATAAGTTATTTACGGGATTGTTATCATGTACCTTGTTTTTAGCGAGTTTCTGATATTTCGGCACTGTTGCAAGCGCCATGATCACGGAGTAACTGAATTAATTGCAGGTAGGCTGTTATTGGCAGACATATCGGTCTACCCTCCGACGAAGACTTTTATTGCGTTCGATACCCGTACCACTGGTTACATTCTCTCTCGCTCAAAACAATGTACATGGTAACAATCCCGTAAATAACTTATATTACTATAAAGTAGTAATTCTTCTGATAATTTATAACATATGATTTATCCGTAGTAGTCAGCAAAGCTCTTATCCCAACACTTCACATGGCTATTCGTATTTGATTTGCTATTTGTCATTTTAACAGCAGGTTGTCCTTATCATACCTCTATAGGGAGTAAAAATATATATAAAACTAGCTGTGCTCCGCTGTGTTACCGGCGGTTTATAAGGGATATTTTCCCGCAATAAAACGTAGCCTATTTGTTAATCCAGGGTGTTAGCTAACTCCATACCAAATTTTAATAAAATTGCTCTAGCCGTTTAGACGTGAAGAAGTAACAAACATACACACTCACAAACTTTCGCTTTTATAATATTAGTGTGATAATTATTATTATTATAAAAATATTTTGTTTCCTACACACAATGCTATATACAGTCGACATAGACTGGCATCCATGCTAGGTAAGACCTGCATTACGGAATACCAGGCTCCTGTATTAAGGATATAAGATAAGTAACACAGGAGAACCTAGAAACTTACTTTTAACTCAGTGGAACTTAATTATGACCAAAATGACAATAATTGTGGTGAAAAGGAAATACTGTTGTCAAGTTTACAAAATTACAAATACGACTAGGCAAGTGAAATGCCGGCATAAAATAGAAAAATAAATATGTATGTATATTCTCTTTTACAGCAAATCCACGCTAGCATACAATATTCCTTAAAAATACTATACCACTACTTTGCCTCATTAACTAAGTACCATTTCCGAATTTTTCGTCTGGCAATTATCTAAATGTTCCTCGGATGTAATCTCCTGCTTATCATAATGATGACCGCTATCATCACAGAACACAAAGAGGTTCGAAGGGTGTTCATAGACCGTTTGTACGGTGAGCGATGTCGCCGGCTCGTCCCCACTACACTTCCATTAGATAATAGCCAATCAAACGACGCGACATTAAACAATCGAACCAATCACCGCTCACATCCGAGAACAACGCTGCAATCAGAACCAAGTATTGGTCGTTATGAGCATTTTCTCACACATTACTGTGGCACGCCTGCCCCGCCCACAAGAACCTTCTAACCTCTCTGTGTGTTCTGTAGTTATCATCATCAGATTAGAACTATCTTTAAAATATAGTAATTTCATATTAATCCCATATTATTTCCTAATTGAGTCTCTTACAGCCAAAAGTCAAATTAATTTATTTCTTGTGCCGTTCTGTCCCTCTTTCCACAGCTAATAAAAAAAAGTCTTTAACGGGTGGTACGTAAAAAATCTACGATTCAAAAGAGTCGTATTATAAATTTTAATAAAGTAATGTTGTATTCGACATTTTTTTTAATTTTGTATTATTAATTTTTATCGCAAATAAAGTGACAGGTAGCATCGACTACAAACTTAAAAGTTAATTGACTTCTTCGAGTAGTATGGATACAAAAAAATGGATACAATTGTACCTATAAGTATTTGAAAAGTGATAATAACTTAATTTTCTTCCTACTTGTCAAAATGTTGTCCCACTGAATACAGTGTGAAAAATACTGATAATCTAATAAGATTATCAGTATTTTTCACATAATCAAACCTCAACAGAGATATAATATAAATTTGAAATGTCGCATGACGCCACGTCTTGGTACAATTTAACTTAGAAGTGACGTCACGAGCCCCCACTCTCAAACTTTGACGCGCTTTATCTGTGTTATTTTTTGGTTGATTGACAAAAGAAAAATAAGGGTCAATTATTTTTTGATAATGTAATGGCGCGACTACACTTGGTCGCTATCCTGAATACGAGTGCCAATGGAGTTCGGATAAACGACTTTACTGTACACCGTCTTCCAGCCCGTATTTCAGTGTAAATATTGCTTCGGGTGCCCGAATAACTTTATATCAGGGGAGGAAAACCTCAACTATTATACCAGTTGATTAAGGCAACACAAAAAAAAGTGCCAATGCATTGTAATGCTTATCTTACATTGTCAGGAAGAATACCTAGTGTTTCATATTGTTATTAATAAATCCATACTAATATTAGGTATAAATGTTAAAGTAATTTTATGTCTGTCTTTCTGTTTCTTTTTTAGGCTAAAACTGTCAGCAGTTTTAGCCTAAATTACATCTAAACCGATTTAGATGTAATTTGGTATATAGATAGTTTTTATCCCAGAGACCATCCTATAATTAACACAACCTTTTACATGCAAAAACGTATAATTTGCTATACATGTTTGCCGCTACCTATAATTGGAATATCGCGTACGGTTTTGTCACTAAATATCTTGTGCCTCATCATGTGAGCGACCCCTTATATAAGGGCGCTTCTACACGGTGCAAGTAGTTGGAGCTAATAAGCACCAGTTATATGCACAAGTTACTCGCTCGTTCTTGTACATGGTGCAAATTACTGGAGCAAGTAAAGGCACGGACAACTTGCGCAATTAATTTTCTCGTGATCGAAGGGTACATGAAGGGCGGTAAGCTTTATGAGTTAAAAAAAATTAATCTCATCAAAATGTCTCGACAAACGAGTTCTTGTCAAATCATTTGATAAAAATGTAATATTTATAACCAGAGGTTTTCCTACGCCATATCGAATGCTAGTTGATCGGTGACAATACACCGAAACCCCAATATATCCAAGGGTTACGCCAAGAGATCAAAAACTAATTAGATCGATATTTTATAAGATCAAATTGCAAATAATCGAATGCCTAGCTACATGATAGATGTGTCAATTATCGAAGCCAGGATTAATATTATTTTTTTAAAGAAATAATGAACAGAATTGATAATATTTTTATAAAGAAATAATGAAAATCCAAACTTCTAGCAGTAAACTCGACTTGTCGAAATTTCGATCTAATATCGCAGCAATCTATCGAAAATCGATTTATTGAAATGGCAACTCGATATATCGGATTTTCGGTGAATTGTCACCGATCAACTAGCATTCGATATGGCGTAGAAAAGCCATTACCAGAACTATTAAATTTACTCGAAGACGAATTAGTAAAATGACGAAGCATGCGCATGCGCACGTCTAAACTGGCTCAGGTAACAAGCGCGAGTTAGCGATGCGCGACTTCGAATAATACTAATACTAATCATTCGACTCCATGAATCATTCGACTAAGTCGACTATGCTTAATATCATTCGCCTGGAGTCGAAGGTATCAGGCGGCGCGCGTCGCACGCAGCGACATTTGACATTAATATTACTAATTAGTAGTCGTTATTCGAATAATGACATTAGTATACTACTAATTTGCCTGTCGAATAGGTGTTTTCACGATGCATATAATCTCCGCAAGTGCACCAAAATACACAAGTTACTTGCACCGTGTTGGAGCACCCTAATTTATGGTTGCGACGAAAATCGTCGGTAGAAATAGAATTCAAACTAAATAAAAACCAAAAACGAACATTAAAACATTAGGAGTGACCAAATGGTAAAATATAAAGAAGAAGTCGTCCTGACATCGTCGATCCCACAGTGCCTAAAGACGAAAGTCTTCAATCAGTGCGTCCTACCTGTGATGACATACGGAGCCGAGCCGATATTATTTATTTATTTTTCTCTGAAGGATCGCATCAGAAATGAGGTAATCCGACAGAGAACCAGAGTCATCAACATAGCCCACCGGATTAGCAAGTTGAAGTGGCAGTGGGCTGGCCATATTTGCCGAAGAACCGATAACCGTTGGGGTAGACGAGTTCTGGAGTGGAGACCGCGTCTAGGCAAACGTAGTGTAGGACGTCCTCAGGCACGATGGAGTGACGATTTGCGCAAAGTGGCTGGCAGGAGCTGGATGCGAGTAGCCCAACATCGATCTGAGTGGCGTGCAATTGGAGAGGCCTATGTCCAGCAGTGGACTAGGATAGGCTGTTGATGATGATGAAAAGAAGAAGAAAGAAATTTTATTGACCTTAAAACACATATACAAAAACAGAACACAGAAAGACAGGCCAACTAGGTTCAGCTTAATACTACAACAACACCAGGGCTGCTGCAGCGCTGATAATTCTGGCAGCCTACAAAGGGAAAGGCAAAATAGGCAAGGAGAACGTGTGTGGCTATGCCACACTGTTACTTAGTATCAATACTGCTAGTGCATACTACTATCTTACATTAAAAAAAGTAGCTGAGGCGTCGTCATTGTTAAACAGATGTCGTAGATAAATCACAGTAAATATACAAACAGTAACAAGTCAAGTGACCCTTTTTTTTCGATGACGGGTAGAAAAAATGTATTATATCCACGACAATGACCAACGCCACGTTGGTTTGCTGTTAACAAACCCTCGCGACGCAGGTAATTGCGTGGTGCATTCGGCAAGCGGCGAGCAGCCCGAGGGCCGCTAGTCGGTGCGGGTATACTTTGTCGTGCACTCACGCAAGCGTGGCATACGTCAAACTACCCCGCCTCCGACCGGCAGCCCGGTCCGCACCCGCTTTAGCCGATACTGGGCTTCTCCGTTCACAGCGTCACCTGGCTAGTCTCACGGACCGCAGTCCGAGCGGCTAGCCACCTGACCAGCTCCCGTACCTATACCAGGTAAACCAACTCCCCGATCTACCCCTCACCCTCCAGGCGTAACTGCCCCCCAGTTATGAGTCGCCGCTTGTTACGCCTGGAGGTCAAGGGACCGTAAAGTGTCAAATTCTTAGCCGATTTTGAGCTTTATGCTGCTTAATTTAAGATTCACATTGAGAAAATTAATATTTGTGATAGTTTACGGTCGCGTGATGACGTTTTATTTGTGTGAACAAAACTCGCGCAAACGCATTATTTTCGCAATAGCTGTAGTGTTTGTTTTTGGGCAGGGCGTTGCTGTACCTCTGACACTGACACTCATACTACTGAAACACGTGAGACGGCTATTTTGCCTATGATATCTAACCGCTTGGTGTCAACGTGGCTGTCAAACTTCATTGGTTGGGTTGGTAGCATTGAAAGTTTAGTTTCCTTTTCATTCGACTTAAAATCGACTTCAACTTATAACAAAAAAAAACAAATAGTTACTTTAAATTATTGTGATGGACAGCCCTGTAGAATTTACCAAGTGTTAAATTTTTAATCAATTTTCCCATATCGATTTGAGTCCTCAATCAAGCACTTTTCCAAAGTAATATGAAAACTGCATTTTATTCGAAATTAAATTTCCTCGTTGATTTAGGTAGGTATTTTCTTTTATTTCATCTTGTTTTCCAAGCAGTGGCTGTTTGACTGTTGCCCTTAGCATTCTCTTTAAGAGAGATGAAAAAAAAAAGTTTCATAGACACGGATTTGGTATATTTACCTTTCTCTATGCTCGGTTTTCAAAACACGATTCATTCATTCCCGGAGAGGTCAGTACAATATATTATATTACCCCTATTTTTTTGTTTTCTTTCTTTATGTTCATTGTTTTCTAAACTAAGCTAGTGGGAGTAGTGGAAGGAGATAAATACCATTACATAGCTCGTAAAATAAATAAAGATGCCAAAACTAAACTTTTATTGGGCTATTACCCCTGGTCGCACCAACATATCCCGGTGGGTAAACGGGTATTCCTTTACCCGTTGTCCTTCCGTTCTAAACAGTGTTCGCCAGTGGGTCTACGAGTAATTTATTTTGCCAGAGTCCCACTGCACTAACTAATAAACATTAACTAAAACTAATTAGTGGTGCCAACAGCGGCACCAAGTTCGGTTATCTTCTTAAAAATAAATTTTGAAATAAAATAAATCTATTTCTCTCGAGATCAAGTATATAAGTACAATTTTTGATAACATAAACATTTTTTTCTTGGAACTAATTCAAAAAAGTAATTATCTTAATTTTTCCAGTGCCACACCAACTGAAATCTATACTAGCTTGCAAAACTAAATATAACACTTTAGAAATTGCATTTAATTATTAGGTACCTACACAAGATTTACTTTTTATAATAAAAAGAACTTAAAACAGTGTTCAATTTTGTATTAGAGTTTCAAAGGAAGCTGATAAAATGTGCTACAAAAACGGTTTTTTTAAAAAATCTGTAACTTCTTTAGTTCAAAAAAATATTTAAAAAAGTGATATCTACTTAGTTTTGTAGCTCAGTGTCATTACTAGCTATGGTAATATTAAGTCGTAGTGGTAATAAAAATATCAAAAGATTTCTGTATTAGTGCAAGTGTCAGTACCACAATATACCTAAAGATTTAAGTAATGTTTACCACTTAATGCAGTTGTACCATAGTAAAAATAAATTTCCCTTAGACCCACTGAAGAACATTGTATGCAAACAGGAAGACAATGGGTAAAAAAATACCCGTGGTCCCAACAGGGAGACTTGTTGGTGGGACCAAGTATAATATCCCGGTCTTTTACTACAATGTGACTTTGTCATTTTTGCATGCTCTTAACGCCAGCAACATTAATTTCTGACACAAATTTTAAGTATTTCGTTATAACTTATGCTAAGGATCACGAGTCCGAAATTATTAAATTATTTTATTTTTAACCACGTGTTAAACAACCCGCCGCGACGTGTGTACGAGTCGTTAGATCGCGCGTGACCGCAAACGCAACAATAGAGCTGTCAATTTCGAATCGCACACTGACATTTCAAATAACCCGACAGCAAGGAACTTACATACTAACTGGAATGCTTACGAAACAATATGGGTATTAAAAAAATGTACTCTAACTAGTTATACATATAGTCCATTTTTGTTTCTACCTTCATAAGGGGGAAAAATACTCTGTCCCTCTCTTGCAATTGTGGGGCACACTACTAGAACGAGACAGATTCCACCAATTCAGCTATGCTCTTGGAACGATTTTGAGGGTCGCGTAAGCATTCCAGTTAGTATATAAGTTCCTTGCCCAACAGCACCGATCATTCCGAAACTCAGACAACCGTACATCACTTTTAACCTATCATATCACCTACAGAATCAGTCCCAAACAACCCCAAACAGCTCCAGTTACGTCAGCGTGTTGATTTAGCGTCATTGCTTCGGTGTTGACGGCGAACTGTCATCGGCTTTCCGTTTACTACCCGCCTGCTGAGTCTTATGCTTATCTGGTTTATATTTCTCCCATTTATTATGATTTAAAGTGTCAAAGTCGTCACAATACTGCGCTATGTCTTTCAGGTAAGTGGATAGGTGTAACAATTCTCTGTCTTTCTCGCGGTTCAGGTGAGCTTGCCGGAACGGTCTGATTTTAAGACCACTCTTCGGGTTCATGATGAAGTTCCTTCGGATGTCATCGAACATTATTGTGTTCTTTGAGCTGTATTGGGGGTACTTACCCCATATCACGCCGAGTGGTTTCACCTGAAACAAGTTTCTGTTTTCAGTATCTATTTAGTTCATGAAAAATGCAATGCAATCGTTGATGGAGCGAATAAACTTTACCTACAGAATATAGTGTATACTAGCGGCCACCCGCGACTTCGTACGCTTGGAGTTAGTTAGAAATAAAGGTTCACTGCTCGTTCCCCGTAGGTGATAGCGTGATAATATGTAGCCTATATGTTGACCCGACTTCTTAATAATATTCGTGCCAAAGGACAATGGGCAAAACGCACCCAGCTCCGCCAACACACAGCCCACACACATACAGACAAACAGACAAAAATTCTAAAAACTATATTTTTGCCTTGGGTATCGATTGTAGATCACACCCCAAGTATTCTTTTGAAAAAATATTCAATGTACAGTTTTGACTTTCCTACCATTTTATTATATGTATAGACAATTTAGGTATTTTTCTTTCCCTTTTAATTTTACCATTTTATATGCATGACCAATAACAAAGTCTCAAGTTGAACCCTATTGCCTATATCATAAGTATCAAAGTTTCATGACAAACATGGAGAAGAACAAGCGCCGCACAGCGCTGCGAATCGGCAACGAGAGCTGGCGATGAATAGCGATTCATTTGTTTTTCCACCACTCATTGGTGAATTGATTTATAGAATTTGATTTATTTAAAAAGCGCTCGAGCGCTGAGAAAGAAAGTAGAGATGTATTTGGTACAAGAGGAAACATTTAGGGCATGTGCTGCCTTAAGCGGGAGCACGGAGCAGACATCCGCTGCGCGTGCATTTTCATGTCATTTCATAGAGCATAAAGAGAATTGAAATTAACTTACATCTATAGTTCCATATTTGGTCGAGTGCACAGTGATCATCGCCAAGTAATCCAGATAGAACATGATTTTGTAGTCTTGGTGTGTGGACACCCCCAAAAGACGCATCTTCTCCTCAATCCACTTCATCCCGGTAGCCGACCAGATCACAATGTCATAGTTCTCGTATGCTGATGTAAGGAACTCGTGCAGAAATGGCCGCATTAACTCGTACCCTATAATTATAATCATCAGCCTATTAACCCCTGGTCTGAGTAGCCCTCCAATTTGTATTTCACTTTGATTTTCCTCTTATTATTCGAGTTCTACTGTACATACAGGCTTCATTTATGTCTTAAATCAATCCTGAATAGTTTGTCTCCAAACTTATCTATATATTAGATGTGTAAATTAAAAACCGTTACTAAACATGATTAACGCAAAATATGAAAACAATTTTCTCAACTAGTGGCAAAAATCATCCCCTTACACAGACGAGGGGTTAATGTTCCCATGGATGAAATAGGAGAGATAGGACCACTTTCGGATTGCTGCGGACGCAGCCGGGACTAACGGTTTAACGTGCCTTCCGAAGTACGGAGGAGCTCGATATAGTAAATTTTTTGGTCAGCCATCCATTGACTGAGTACTGCGAAAGTTGCTTAACTTCAACGAACGCGCTAACCACTTGCGCCATCGAGTTCCTAGTTTCAAACTTGGTCATTCTTACGTAATCTACAGTGGACTTAATTATTTGATCCATGCAAATAGGGTTATTGTCTGAGTTAGACACATTCTCTGCTTGGCTCTGAAATATAAATGTGAAAGTTTTTGAACGAAAAAAAGTCAGTTTTTGGGTTAATTGAAATTGAGTAATGATCACCCAAACATTAATTTCGACTAAGTCTAAGAACTCACGGAACCGTTTTTTTGCCCGCACCCGCCGGGCGGCCGCAGAAATTTTATTTTTTACACCTTACGATATCCCAGTGCCCGTGAAATTTGGTTTTGCTTATTACCTACAATTTCACATTCATCGTGTGTTGCGGTCCCGCAGCCGCAGCGAGCGCGCGAGAGAATCGGGCAGTGTGTTTATAGCCTTAGTCGAAATTATATGTTTGGGTGATCATTACTCAATCACACAAACACGGCTGAATGGACACTTAAAAAACCCAAAGCCTGTGAACCAATCTGATTCACTTTCACAAAGGAGATTGCTCAGCTTCCATACATGTTTGGCCTAAAAACCAATAACCATGAAAAATTGTTTCCTACATTCAAAATTATATATAAATTACCGTAGAAACGAATATTATCGACGGCCACTCCTGAGAACTTCTATAAACCATATACACTGAATGATTTTGAGGTTATGTTTGCAAATAGGCACATAGGTATTAGAATAATAAAAACCAAATAACTTATATAGGAAAATAGGGCAATCAAGCCAAGTACCGATATTATGTATTAGATTCAGGTATATAGAGCATGTAAAATAACAGATATGTGCATGTTTTTAAAAACACGAACAGAAACTGTGTGATGATTGTGAATGAGCCACAGATTAGAGAGAATTTTTAAACTCTCGTTAATCAAAGAAAGCTAAGAGCTGTAGGTTATACAGCCATATCTTCAGCAGCTTCATTATTTTTGTTATGTTTTTATTATAACCATATTTTAGATTTTTAGTGTATCACACCTTATAATGTGTTTATTTAGGTGTTTGGCAAAAAATGTACGGCAATAGACTTTATGATGTCGCCTACCATCTATATTAATTGTCTTAGCACATTTGCATGTAGTAAAAATGATAATAGAGTTGTGGATATTAATACCAAACGTGTAATAAAAAAAATATATTTTATCAATCTTTACAAAATAGATTTGTTTTGATGTTATATAAACAACCTCGATCAGTCTTTGTGAATGTTACTACACCCATAGCCAATAAAAATGATTCGTATGTTTTCCAAACCGGTAAAAATAGAAGTCCTTTTTTAAAATTAATATATTATTTAAAGGTGGCCGTTAAAATCTAATGACTGTAAAATAAAGTATAAATTACGCCAAGAATTACTGTATATGTCAATATTTTATTTGCATTTAGGCCAATTTGACCAATCTCCTTTATTAATAAACTAGTTGACCCAGCGAACTTCGTACCGCCCTAAAAAAATGGGGGTTGTCCAGCGGACAAAATTGTGAATCTAAACCATTCTCAGATCCCCTTGAACACACACAAAAAATTTCATCAAAATCGGTTCAGTCGTTTAAGAGAAGTTCAGTGACATACACACTCACAGAAGAATTATATATATAAAGATTAAAATTAACAGTAATAAAATAATTAATGAGATAATACATACCCGTTTCTGCGACAGATCTATGATCGAATAGAGTGTAATCTATGTCTAAAACAAGTAATTTCTTTCCTGGGCGAGCTTCATTCAATATATTTATTTTATAGTCCTTTATCCTTTTATTAATTTTTGCTAGATAAATCTGTAAAAATAAGTAAAAATAACTTATAAATATCAAGAACATGTATTATTCATTAATTTTATTTGGCATTGCATAGTTAAAACAAAATATTTTTTTTTGTGTTCAATACACAAACAATTGTGCTTAAAGATGTTTGTACACCTTTTTTATATTTCAACCAGATGGCCCATTAAATATTATGTACATATTTCATTGATCTGTCCTATGCATAGGAAATTTCCTTTTTTTCTAAGCATAATCAAGAATTTGCATTATGATGAAACACATTACATATTAAATAAATAAATATTTCCAACACTCACACCAATTAGCCTAGCCCCAAAGTAAGCACTATAAGGCTTGTGTTATGGGATACTAGGGTAACGGATAGAATACATATACTTTACATATATTAGTATATTTATATAGAAATACATATTAAACATCCATGACTAGAGTACAAATGCTCGTGTTCATCACACAAACATCTGCCCCCACCGGGATTCGAACCCAGGACCTCTCGAGTCGGCGACGCCATGAAACCCGGCGTACAAACCACTCGGCCACGGAGGTCGTCAAAATATGTAAAACAATATTCATCTGGCATGTCCAGTATAATTTGAACTTAAAACTAAATTTACCATCAGTCTCTGCTCATCATTCTGTAGAGGGAATGACAAGGGCACACTGTTTGTTGAATTTAAGTTTAGATATAGAAATTCATTCCATTCAATCCACAACACTATTTTACAGTAAAATTTCAGAAATTTAAGTACTTATTACTGATTTAAATAGTTTTATTTTTACATTTTAAGACCTGAATTTAAAATGTATTAAAACGCAAGATAATGTTTGCCAGCATGTCAGCCCTTAAATTTTTGTCAATTTAAAGTACAGTTAAACAACATTACTTTTTAGGGTCTAGTTTTGATAAATTTGAATACATTTATTTCACTGAGATATTTAAACTGTTTCTTTATAACTCAAATTTTGTTTCAATGACGGTTATAATCAGTTTATACTCAACACCAGACTCATTTTAGTATTTGAAAAACATACTTCTTGGTTCTCGACATCAACTTCTTCTTCTTCTATATCCAAGTCATTGACCACTTCATCACCGACGTCTGGTTTCGTTCTAGCACCTTCTATAGCTTCTTCTAGTGAACCCATCATCATTATCTTCAAATTAGGTTTTAGATTTAACTCTGACAATGTGAAGTTATCTGTTGCTACTTTACCTGGTTACAAAAGAGATATCTTTTTATGATTGTATTTATTTTTTAAGCATTTAACTGCTAGATGTTTAAATCTAAAGAAAAGTTTACTATAAAAAAATCCACGTGGATTTTTTTCTAGTAAACTTTTCTTTAGATATCTTTTTATCAAGATAACATAAAAACCATACAAATATATATAGATTTTTTTTCTTAGAGAAATAGCCTTTCTTTTTTTAGAGAAATAGCCTTCAATCCGCTATAAAATATGTATGATGCATTAAAGATATGAAAGTTTAGTCAAGCCTGCATATTTTATACTGTTGTAGAACATGAATAACAGGTACAGAGTCATTTCATGTAACGGGTGTTATAGGTTGCACACATATAAAAGATAATTAAGCAGTGTGATCTTTAAGGAAAACACACTTTTTACATTGTATTTTTGTTGTAATTAGACAAGTTGATAATTCAAAATATTATAAAGAAGTATGAAAAATTAAGTCAAACAATGTTTAATTGGTGTTACATCGTTTTGCCTATTGATTCTCAGTAGTTTCACATGAATGCAAAACTCTGCCAATTTCGATAATAAAACATTATTAATTTTTCCCTACTTAATTTTTTATAACATTAGTGTGTTACGAGTGCAATGAAAACAGTGTTAAATATTTTTTTTTCTATATCTCTTATTCTTAGATATATACTTAAAATATACCCATTGATTTTGCTAAAAACCTGTTCTATTAATAAATTATAATAGATGAAATCACCCCCCTATTTATATAAGTTGAATTGGGTAAAATTGAAATGATGAATTTCAAAAATGATTGCATTACAATAATTTTCATAGCACCTTAATATCATTTGCAACCATTTTCATAAACATTGCTGCACCTTATAAGCACTTCACCATAAAGTTCTTTAATAGAACTGACCTAAAAATTTTCTAACTCTTATAGATCTGAATCAATATAAAATATGCTAAACGCAACAAATTATTTTCCTTACTCCCAAACTAATAGATATAATTCCTTAAAATATATAATCAAGGACAAACCTTAAAATAATACATGTAACACTTGTTACATTACGGGTGTTATGGGTTTTTTTTTGCTAAAATATGAAAACATACAAACATAAAGGATAATAGATTACAATTATAACCTTACTCTCGCACAACCACACTATTGTAGTCACAATAAAGCATTAGATATGCAAACTTATTCACCTTTTCAGTAACAGGTGTTGCAGTGATTTGGCCCACAAGAACCCTCTAAAACTACCACATTAAAAGTTAAAAAATCGCGTTTCATACATGCCACAGTTTTCAACACTTAAAGAACTCGCAATGCATTTGTTTCTCATTTAAATTTCTAATTATTTTTTAAATTTTCATTGTTGCACATCCAGCATATAAAAAACACCACCAGAATAATATGTTCCATGGTAATTTACGCATTAATTATTAAATGAAGCTATATAATGAATATATTTTCGTAAATTTATAAAACAAGCAAAAGTTGCGTATGAAATGGAACCCTACAGTAGTAGCACGTAATTATGAAATTCATCGCTAACATGAGGCTTCAGCTTATTTTTTTTTTATATTTTGACCACAACGGCATCATCCAAGACCTACATCTAAAAAAAAATACCTAATTTCAAAAGCGCTGTGTAATTCAAAATTTTAATGCAACTTATTGTAAAATCGGAGAATATGTGAGCAATAACTATACATAATTTAATTTACCCTGAAATTTCACATTGAGTAATTTTTGTCTTTCCGGTCGGACACCAGTAGCATTTTCGATGGCGATCTTGAGCATCGCCACTGAATCGGAAGGAGAAAACTCCGGTATGGCGTATTCTTTGCCATTCCATTTAACTGTAAGCTTTAAAGGATTGTCGTTAAGATCACACATTTTTCATGAAACCTGTAGAAAATAGATCAAAACCACAAACGACGACACATAAACAAAACAATTTGACATTACGAGAATGACAACTTTTTTTTTAATTCGTATTTTACGGTTATAGTTTTCACCATTTCGGCCTTTCATTAGTGTCTCGATTTATTTATTTATAATTAGTTAGGGATGCTACGTTAGAAAGGATATACTGGAACTCGGAATACAGGGTAACCGATAAATATACATCGACAATTCGAATCAAATATCAATTATCAAAATTTATATATTACTAAGGGAAATGATAATATGAGGAACAAAAAAACATAATAGAAAATAATAAAAAAACAAACGAAATAGAGACTGATGAAGAGATATTGGTGTTGATTCTGGCATGATTCTCTAAACCTAAACCTTAAATTGACAACAGTGCATACTTGTAATTTTTTTTTTTTTTTTTTTGCGGTTATCCCCAATTTGTATCAGGTCTTTTTCTTTCTTTGGTTTTTTGTTTGTTACTATTATATTGTTTTTATTCATGCCTGCTCTTTTGCTTGTTTTGTTGCGCTTTTTCTTTTGCACATCTTTCTTCTTCTTTCATCTTTTACAATTATCTTGATTCCTATTACATTTCTTATAATTTCTATTTTCTCTATTTACATTTTACATTTCCTTATATTTACACACACTTGTTTTCTTACTATCTATATTTCTTATTTACTACCATTTCTCTATTGTACACATTTCTTAAACCGATTTTACATTATCTGCCCATATGGCTCCTTGCCTAAATCTAAAATTTACAATTGTATAATACATAGGTTAATACCTATACTAATCATCCTTATTTCTTTCTATGACTTTTGTTACTATGCCTTTGCTATATTTAAGAAAGATCTCTCTATCTCTTTTGTTTGTTATAATTTCCTTCAGGTTATCCTTTTTAAGTTGTGTGTCTAGTGCTGTTTGTGCGTCGTGTCTTTCTCTGTTGTAAAGGGGGTCATTCTAAGAGGACATGGAAGATGTCCTCTTCGGTGTCGGGATCGCATACGCAACTTGGGGTGTCCTTCTTTTTAAACCTATGGAGGTAGGCGGAGAAACCTCCATGCCCGGTGAAGATCTGTGCAGCTATCCTATCAATTTCTATCTTTCTTACGACACCGAAGGCGCTCTCCCCGCAAGGGAAGAACGCCTTCGTTGTGGCCGCCGTGTCCTCGCTCCTATACCTGCTGTCCCATTTTACTTTCGTCATCGCGCGTACATGTCACTTGACGAAAGAGATGGGACAGCAGTCATAGTGCGATTTGCACTTCAACCCGAGGGCCGCCCCCTTCGCCAGCTGATCCGCTCTCTCGTTTCCGATCACCCCGACGTGGGCCCTGATCCAAAACAGGGACACGGTTTGTCCGTTGTCCCTGAGTTGGGCCAGGTTGCCCTGAATCGCCTTGGTGATCGGATGCGAGGAGTCTGGATCAGCTAGCGATTGGAGAGGGGACCTCGAGTCGCTGAGCACGGCCGCCTCCTTCCATCCCTTCCCTAGTACACACTCCGTGGCTTGGAGGATAGCATACAGCTCGGCTTGGAAGACTGTACAGTATGGCTCCAACTTAAACTTTCGGGAAAGGACTTCTGCCTGCCCTTTCCAACAGGTCAGGGCGGCTCCCACCTTTCCCTCCAGTTTGTTGCCATCTGTATAGATCTTCACAAGACCTTCTGCCAGTTTGCTATCCTCCTCCTCGTTTTCCAGACATTCAAAACCTATCATTCTGCTGCTACCGGGGTGGTCCGATTCCATGAAGGACACCCTTTTCTCCACCTTTCTCCCCTTCGATATTGCCTGGGGTTTCCCTCGCTTCGCCTCATAAAGCTGGGATGCTTCATGGACCCTTAGGTCCAGCGGAAGCAGCCCCGACAATATTAAGGCGGAGTTGAGTGACACCGTCCTATAACACTTTGCAATTTTCTGGGCAAACCCCCTTTGCACAACCGAGAATTTCTTTTTGGATTTTATTTTATCAGCCTCCTTCTGCCAGACACTCGCCGCGTATAGGATGACCGGTTCTATTACTGCTGTATATATCGTTCTTATTATTTCCGGTTGGAGACCCCAAGTCGTTTTTGCGGCTCTTTGAATACCTTTGTAGATATTAATTGCTTTGCCGCATATATATTTTATATGTTCATTAAATGTTAATTTGTTATCTATTTTGAGGCCAAGTATTTTTATTTCATTCACTATTTCTATCGTAATCCCCCCCATGGTCAGTACCGGCGCGTCGAATTTAAGCTTTTTGGTAATGATCATGGCTTTGGTTTTGTGTGCCGCAAAGTTCAGCTTATTCGACACGCCCCATCTCCTGACCAGGGAGAGCCCTACATTGGCCTTTTCCTCTACCGACTTTGAGTCTCCTCCATTCACTACAAGAATAATATCGTCAGCGAATGCCTGACAGTAGATATTGGCGTCGGTGAGCTCGTTTAGGAGAGGATCCAGCAAGATGTTCCAAAATAAGGGGCCTCCTATGGACCCCTGTACACAACCTTTGTTGGTTTGTTTGCTGAATTCCTCTCCCGCGTATCTCACCGACACCATCCTATCTTGCAGGTAGCTGTCTACCAATTTCCTTGAATTTATTGGGCAATTAAAGTTTTTTAATTGGCAACGGATCCGCGGCCACCACGCGTTGTCGAAGGCCCCCTCTATGTCCAGCGATATCAGGGCCACTATTCTCTTCTCTACCAATTTGTCCCTGATTCGCTGAATCATATCATAGAGGGAGTCCTCTGTACTGCGCTGCGGCACGAATCCGTATTGCCGATGATTTAATTTGGGCAATATATGCCATTTTATACGGCGCACTAACATTTTTTCTAAAAATTTACCTAGGACTGGCAGCAACCCGATTGGCCTATATGATTTAGGTTCCTGGTAATTTTCTTTTCCGGGCTTTCTTAACATTATGACGGTGGCCTTTTTCCATCCATGCGGGAAGTGAGCCAGGGCTAGGCACTAATTGAAGATCGCGAGAGCTATTTCACTATTCGCTTTTACAGTCGCTGCACATATGTCGGCTGTGAACCCGTCTCCACCCGGTGCCTTTTTCGGGTTGAACGATTCCACGGCGTGCATCAGCTCGGCTTCCACAAATGGGGGGTCGTGAACATCATGTTCGTCTCTCTCATTTGCTTCTGCTGCGCTGACTCGCACTGACCTGTGGACCTCGTTCTCCCCTACTTCAGTGTTATCCGGGTAAAAGGTCTCCGCCATTATGCGCACCGACTGTTTGGGGCTGGTGGTAGTGCCCCCTCTCGCGATCGGCAGGTCTTCGCCTTGTGCTCTGGTACGGCCTATAACTCTGTAGATCCCGTCCCACATGGATTCCCGGTCTTGCTTTTTGCAGAACTCCTTCCAACTTTTTACTCTGGCGACATCCATCTCTCTTTCGTACTTTTCTTTCGATTCTATGTATTGCTCGACCACCCATGTTTTTTGACTTGGTGCTGCCCATTTTATTCTTCTTTTCATTCTTTTCTTTTTTTTTTTCATTCTTTCTAACTCGTCGGACCACCACACAATCTTTATTTTACTAGTTGTCTTTTTTAATTTTACATTTTTATTACAATTCTCTTCTATTAATTTGGTGTATTTATTGATTACGTTTTCTAGTTTTTCTACATTGTCTATTTCTATTTTGTTTAAATTATTATTTTTAAAAAGGTTTTGCATTTCGTTTTTGTACTCCACCCAGTTTGTTTTCTGGGTGTTGTATTTTCTGGTGGTTTTGTTATTATTATTTATATTGTTTTTATTATTTCCTAATTTTATTTTAAACGAGATTGTGTTGTGGTCCGACGTTGTCACATCATCCCTCACCTTCCATTCCAGCACCTTGTCCAGCATGTCGGTCGAGCAGTACGTCACATCTACGCAGCTCTTATACTCTTTCCCTCGCATACTTGTCATTACATACATACAGAATGAAAATGAGAGACTGATGTTTTTTAGTTTAAAGTTTAGAGAATCATGTCAGAATCGATACCACTGGGCTCAATTCATAACTAACTAACATTAGACATAGGCATGTCAAAGGTATATTTAAATAAGGATTCTGGCATGATTCTCTAACCTAAACTTATATTTGACAACAGTGTGCGGTATTTCATCGGTTGGCGTCTTATTTTAATTATTCTTTAATTTGTTCATAGTGGAAATTGTTAAATAAAATTGGTGTGATTTTGTGTTACATTCGTCTGCACAACTGAAGAATTAGTGAAATCTTTAAAATATATGCTTTTCCGGTCAAGTGTGTGAGAACTTTATTGTAGTGTTGACTACCTCACAGAAGCTTGTCGAGAAGACCGACTCAAATAACCCAACAAACATTCGAAAGCGTCACAACCACATTCTTATTAAAAATAAAATACAGAAAACTGAAGACTAGGCTGTATGGACATTGTTCCTTTTGCCTTCTGTAAAAAGGCAGAACAAAAACAAACAATGTATTTTTTTAAAATAAGTCTACACAGGTTACGGTTTTTGGTGGGATTTCATCAAAGAGGATTTCACGAGTGCGGTTGGCGTCTTAATTTAATTATTCTTAAATTCGTTCATAGTGGATATTGTGAAATAAAATAGCTGTGCTTTTGTGTTACAACCGTCTACGTAACTGAAAAATTAGTAGAATCGTCAAAATATACGCCATTCCGGTCAAGTGAACGTGAGAATTTTATTGTAGTATTGACTACCTCACAGAAGCTTATTGAAAAAGCCGGCTCGATACATTTCGTGCCAAACACTTCAAGAAACATTAGAATGCGTCACACCGACATTCTAATGTAAAAAGAAAAGAAGAATCATTTAACTTAAGACTAGGCTGTATGGGCTTTGTTCCCTTTGCCTTCCGTGAAAAGGGAGAACTTAACCAAAAAAAATCTACACAGGTTACATGACAGGATAGATAATATTTATTTACGATTTGATTTTATAGAAAAAAGTAATAATTTTCAATATTTTATTTTTTCTCAAAAACTATCAGTGCGCTGGTGTGGAGACTTCGCAAAGAGACCATTTCACCCAAAAAT